AACGCATAGATCGTGTGTGTCATCAGATGTTACACAACGTCAACACGGATGCACACATCCTTAAATGTTTTGCTAGTGCTCGCCATAATGAGATAAATAGAGATCGCTCTTACCACAGCTCTAAATTCACGCTTCAAACAAAACAGTCAATGAAGACGAAGAAGAGAATGATGTGTAGCTCCCGGCACCTATTTATACTATAGTCGCACCGGTAGTGACGTCATGGCTGTCGCCGGCCAACGAGTTGGTGTTTTTTCAATGTATGCTTCAGACACGGGTCATGACGAGGCGTTCCCCATAGCGACCCCTAGAGGACGCAGTTCGAAGTTCCCATGAAAGGGAAATAAAGTTAGTAGAATGTTGAAAGAAACTTGCTGAACATTCTAAGAAACGTTTTTGTAACATTTAAATAACATTATAATCACAACAAGAAAACTAGACTTTTAATGGTTTTAGAATATTTAAGAAAAGTTCAAATAACATTATATTTTGGGTAAAAATAAAGTTAGAATGTTGGAATAAATGTTTTTGTAACCTGTAAATAACAAGAAGACTGGACATTTCAACGTTTATAGAAACATTTCAAAACAATGTTTTTATAACTTAAAATTGTTAATAAATATGTCATGAAAACAAGTTATGACATCTGCTGTTTAAATGTTTATATTTCAACAACAAACTGGAGTAGAAACATAATTATATCATCAAAAGGTTATATTATAATACATTTATATCATAAAAACTGCCTTATGTACAATTTAAATGTTTACAAATCACTGTAATATGTGACCCTGCAGCACAAAAGCAGTCTTAAGTCGCTGGGGAATATTTGTAGCAATAGCCAACAATCATGTTCCATGAAGATATTTAGTAATTTCCTACCGTAAATATATCAAAACTTAATTTTTGATTAGTAATATGCATTGCTAAGATCTTCATTTGAACAACTTTAAAGATGATTTTCTCAATATTTTGATTTTTTTTGCACCCTCAGATTCCAGATTTTAAAATAGTTGTATCTCAGCCAAATATTGTCCTATCATAACAAACCATACACCAATGCTTTCAGATGATGTATAAATCTCAATTTCAAAAAATTGACCCTTATGACTGGTTTTGTGGTCCAGGGTCACTAATAGTATCGTATTGTGAATTTGTCTCAGTACCAGCCCTGATAAAGTATTTGCGGTTCTCCATGGAGCCATCGATGGCGATCAAAAGCTATATTTCAAGAGTGAGCTGTGAGTTCAGAGCAGTCTTGTGTCTCAGGACTACAGGGTGAACATCTTCCTGCGGCAGAAGTGGAACGACCCTCGGCTGGCCTACAGCGAGTATCCCGACTCCTCTCTGGATCTGGACCCGTCCATGCTGGACTCCATCTGGAAACCAGACCTGTTCTTCGCCAACGAGAAGGGAGCCAACTTCCACGACGTCACGACGGATAACAAGCTCCTGAGGATCTTCAAGGATGGCACCGTCCTCTACAGCATCAGGTATGAAGACGTATTAACTCTATACGCACACTTATAAGTCTACTGCATGCCTTCTGATTGATAGTTCAGAGTCTTTTATCCAGTAATTGTAGAAATGTCAAGCTTCAGCTGGAGCTTCACGTGTCGAATCTTGACTGATTTTTATCAAGTAAGCGTCAGAATAACTGCAGTAATATCTCCAGATGAACACTTACTGGACTGAAGCAGCTCAGCTTTACTTGATTCTCCATCAATCATGTTTTAGAGTCTCAAATCTGATCCTCAGGATCTTTTGAGGAGCGTTTGTTTCCAGAAGCTTTACTTTCACTGTTCCTCAGCGGAGGAATGATCTTCACAAGCCTCCAGAACATCTCACATCTTCTGAGGAGTGTCTATATATATATATATATATATATATAGTCTAAAGGTACAATAAACTGAAAAAAAAATAAAATCTATAAATCTAGATTTTTCTGACTTATTTCATATGTCAGGCTTTACAGAGTCAAGCTGAATCAAATTTTCATATTTTTAACCATCTATTTAAACTAATTTGTTTAATTTTCAAACAGGATGAATGTTTTAGAGTAACACAATCCAAATAATAGCACAAAACATTTAAAAAATATTTAAAAAGAAAATGACTGAAACAAAAATAAAAGCCTGAACATTTCTAATGAAATGAAACTGAAATCAATTTTAATTATAATAAAATATAAAATGAAGTTGTAGTAAAATTAGTAAAAATTAATAAAAATAATTTAAAGCTAAATAGAAATATAAATAAATAAAAATGACAAATCACATACAATTAAAATGAATGAAATAAACAAAATATAAATAGTATATGAAAAACTTCACTTAAACAAAAGTAAAAAATAGAACTGAAATAAATTAAGTTCAAGTTGAAGCACCAAAATTACTAAAACAGGCATAAAAATAGATGAAAGCTGCATAGATTTTTAAAAAACAAAATCTAATGACGACAAAAGCACAGAACAAATGTCTAAAACTAAAATTAAAATGAGAGCTGAAATAAAATAAAACAAACATTAGATGAAAACCTACACTTAAAAAAAACTTAAACGAAAATAGAAATGTTGCCTTGGCAACTGACTGAACTAAAACAAGTGTAAGCTGAGGCACTAAAATCACTAAACCTAAAACACACCAAATAACAGCACAACACATTGATAATACCGATAATAAAGCTGTTTATTCTTCCACTGTCTGCACTGATCGGATATAAAGACATTATTCATGAATTACAGATTTGCTCACAGTTGTGTTTTTCTCCAGTGGATTTTGTCACATTGTAAGAGACGTCTAGCTGTTCTAACGTCGTTCAGTGATTCACAAGAGAAAGAGTGAAGTCATTATCAATTAAAGCTCTCGCCTCCCTGAAGCTCAAGATATACAGTATATATTTATGATATACCATAAATAGAACGAGGCATCAGTTTACTGTCGTGCGAGTCTGTTATTATTAACTACAACTAAAACTATTCAAAATCGATTTCATTAACTCAAATAAAGCTGAAACGTAAAAATGAAAAACTTAGATTAGAAATGTTGCCTTGGCAACTGAAATAAAATTGAAGTACAATAAAATAAAGCACTTTAACTTGAAGTACTAAAATTACTAAAACTAAAATAAAAATAAAGAAAATATTTAAAAACGAATGAAAAAATGACAAAAGCAATATAAAAAAAACAATTAAAATGAAAGCTAAATAGAAATATTTAAAAAAGATTAAAAACAGCACATAGCACATTACTGAAATGTAAATGTAAATGTGAAACTAAAATTTCACATTTACAAATGAAAAATGAAAGCTAAATAGAAATATTTGAAAAAGGAATAAAAATCTGAAACAAAATATAAATATTAGATGAAAAACTTAAACTTATTTTAGTTTAGTTTTCTTTTAAGTTGAACTTGAAGTACTAACATTACTAAAACTAAAATAAAATAAATGAAAGCTAAATAGAAATATTTTAAAATAGATTAAAAATGACAAATACATAAAATTACTGAAACTGAAATTAAAATGAAATGACAAACAAATTTACTAAAATTAAAATGAAAACTGAAATAAAATATAAATATTGGATGAAAACCTGAAACTTATTTTATTTCTGTTTTTTTTTTAAGTTTAAGTTTTTCATCCAATATTTATATTTTATTTCAGCTTTCATTTAATTTTCATTTCAGTAATTTTATGTGCTTTGGTCATTTTTAAATATTTCTATTTAGCTTTCAATTTTTTCATTTTAGTTTTAGTAATTTTATTACTTCAACTTAAACTTAAATTACTAAAAAAAGAAAGCGAAATATTATTAGAAACCAATAAAAATGACAAAAGCACATTGAATTATTGAAAATAAAATTAAAATGAAAGCTGAAATAACTTAAAAAACTAATTAAAACTGAAATAAAAAGTTCAAATTGAAGTAATAATAAGTAATGACTAAAACTTAAACTGAAATCAAAACAAATGAAAGCTAAATATAAGAAAAAAAAACCTAAGAATGAACAAAGGCACATATTTCTAAAACTAAAATTAAAACCGAAAATATAAAAATAAAATAATTCAAAATACTGTATTAAAAATACTAAAACAGTATATAAATAATACAAAAAATAACATTGAAAACATGGCATTGTTTCATTTAAATCTAACTTTTTGAGATAAAGTTTTAGAATTGTTATGAAACGTTATAGCATAAAACAAATCCAAAATCTTTCAGATTGTGCTGTATTTCTAGGTGACATTTTCTCATGCTGAAGAACAGGATCATCAGGTTTACTTCTCAAATCAGAACAGAATGCAAAACAGAGATATTTCACTAGTGCTCAAACGCTAGTAGAATTGTATGTTTGAATCAAATTCATCTCGTGATATTCGAGTGAACACGAGCCCTGAAGAGATATCTGCAGCTCTTATTGTAAATCCACGTGTTTATTTTGAAAATGAGCTGATATGACGCCGTCCTAGTTTTCATAAATGCTCTATTTATATAAATCACAACCCATCAGCGGCAGACGCTCTGAATTCATGCATAAGTCATAGTGAAGCTTCAGATCCGCTGAGGTTTCCAGATGCATCTCATCCAACATTAAACACTCCAGTCACATGAATCAAGTCTGATATTATAGGATCAGGTAATACATTCAGAGCATAATGCAAACACACACACACACACACACACACACACACATGCATAACGCAGTGTGTGTTTGTGACATTGTCTGTAGGCTGACGTTAATATTGTCCTGTCCGATGGATCTGAAGAACTTCCCGATGGATGTACAGACCTGCACCATGCAGCTGGAGAGCTGTGCGTATTAACATCTGTATGTGACCCTGGAGCACAAATACATACATCGTTGATGTATGGTTTGTTATGATAGGACAATATTTGGCTGAGATACAACTATTTGAAAATCTGGAATCTGAGGGTGCAAAATAATCAGAATATTGAGAAAATCATCTTTAAAGTTGTTCAAATGAAGTTCTTAGCAATGCATATTACTAATCAAAAATGAAGTTTTGATATATTTACAGTAGGAAATTTACTAAATATCTTCATGGGACATGATCTTTACTTAATATCCTAATGATTTTTGGCATAAAAGAAAAATCTATAATTTTGACCCATACAATGTATTGTTGGCTGTTGCTATAAATATAACCCCAGACTGCTTTTGTGCTCCAGCATCACATTGTGTCTGTTTGTCTATAGTTTTTATGATATTTATTATTATTTTGAATTAGTTTTTTATTTGTATATTTTCCATTTTAATTTTTTGTTTAAATGCTAGTTTTAATTATTTTAATTCAGTTTTTTATAGTTATTTTCAGTTGTTTAGTTATTTTTAGTTTTAGGATATTTATTAATATTTTGAATTAGGTCTTATATTTTCTGGTTTCATTTTAATTTTAGTTACTTTTAGTCATTTTGTTGTATGTTTTTATTATTTTTCTATGTGTCTAAATAGTTTTTATTATTTTTTTTATTTCAGGTTTTGTTTAGTTATTTTCAGTTGTTTAGTTATCTTTATTTTTAAGATATTTATTAATATTTTGAATAGTTTTTTTTTTTTACATTTTCTGGTTTCATTTTAATTTTGGTTAAAGTTTTAGTCATTTTGTTGTGCTTTTTAAACAAATAATGTCTATATATTTTTTATTTAATTATTTTTGTTATTTTTTGTTTTATGATATTTATTAATATTTTGATTCAGTTTTTTTTATATTTTCTGCTTTCATTTTAATTTGAGTTAAAGTTAGTCATTTTGTTGTGCAATTTTGTCAGTTTTATATTTTTATTTCAGTTTTTGTTTAGTTATTTTCAGTTTAATTTTATTTAGTTTTATGATATTTATTCATATTTTGAATTAGGTTATATATTTTCTGTTTTCATTTTAATTTGAGTTTCTTTTAGTCATTTTTATTGGTTTTATTAGTTTTCTATATGTCTAAATAGTTTTTATAATTTTTTTTTATTTCAGATTTTTTTTCTTAGTTATTTTCAGTTTAATTATATTTAGTTTTATGATATTTATTAATATTTTGAATTCGTTTTTATATTTTCTTTATTTTATTTTAATCTTAGTTATTTGTAGTCATTTTGTTGTTAGTTTTAAGTTTTCGATATGTCTAAATAGTTTTTATATTTTTTCTATTTCAGTTTTTGTTTAGTCATTTTCAGTTGTTTAGTTATTTTTAGTTTTATGATATTCATTAATATTTTAAATTAGTTCTTATTTTTATATTTTACATTTTCATTTTACAATTTTTTAAATTTTTTTAAATGTGATTTTTTTTTTTAATTGTAAAAAATTTTAGAATTTAAAAATAAATCAGTTTTTGTTTGTTTCTTTTCCGTTTTAGTAATTTTAGTACTTCACCTCAAACTAAATGACTATTTAATATAAGTATAACTGGAAGTGTTTTTTATTTCAGTCGACATTTATTTGAAATGTTTTTAATAAAGGTGTTTCTGCTGATGTTTTGCTGCAGTCGGCTACACGATGAACGACCTGATCTTCGAGTGGCTTGAGAAAGGTCCGGTGCAGGTCGCCGAGGGTCTGACGTTACCGCAGTTCATCATCCGAGACGAGAAGGAGCTCGGCTTCTGCACCAAACACTACAACACAGGTCAGAGCACCACACGCACTCATAACTAGAGATCGACCGATATATCGATTTACCGATATTTTTCCCAATATTTAAGCATTTTACAATAATCGGATATCGGTTTTGTAATATCGGATTCACCGATAAACGCCGCCATCTTGTGTATGTTTTGAGAATTGCGCGCAGGATCACCATTGCAGCGCATCTGATGGGAAACAAGACAACAACAACGGCGTGCACGGGTACTTGATTTACTGTAGTTAGTAAATTTTATTTAACATAACAGCCATTAATGCACAAATTAGATGTATTACATAAATGCCTGAAATGCAGTTTATGCAGCTTGGCTTGAAGAAATAGAGACGGACTCACGGAGTCACGTAAAATAATCCGTCAAGTCCTGTCCCAATAAAGACGTAACTTTGCATTAATTAAATAATACAGCCATGAATGAGCGCCCCTAAATTGTATTAACATTTACTATATAACCATTATTTCGCTAATAAATATCTAAATAGATACATCTCTATTGAAATTAATTATTTATTATCTCCACGAGCGATCGCAGTTTGAGTATAGTTCTGTGTAAATGCATAGATAAACCGCGCTGTCAGCAGGCTTTTCATAATCTAGGACAAAAACATTATTAATAATTCTGATATAACATGCCAGTTGAGAAATGCAATAAAATACGATGTTTTGTTTGTTATATTTCAATATTCCAGAGAATATTATTCAGTGAATTATTCTTCACTCTTTAGCCTATTAAACAGCTTATAAACCTACTAAAACTGTAGTTTAATATGAAGTTGATGACTCCTTTATTTATTTTCTCCATTTGAAAACATTAGACCTTCTACATTTATTTTGCTTATTGTTAATATTAGTGTCGCTGCTGATGCTTTAAATAAAAATGTTTTTATTGTTGTAATGTGAAGATTAAATTTAACATGAAAGACTGCTAGTTTTCAACACTTTTTTTAAGATGACTGAAAGGAGGAAAAACCAAAGTGAAGTATGTTCTTACTTCACTCAGTCATTTATTTACTTTATAACAGTAAATAAATATCAGTTCTGCATATCGGTTATTGGGCACATAAACATGCAAATAATCGGTATCGGTATCGGTTATAAAATATCAATATCGGTCGATCACTACTCCTAACCCATCATTACAGACCTGCATCATGTCCAGTGAATGAATCCAATGCTCGTGTTGAGCTGCTGATTCCAAAAAGTGTGTCTGTTTTGCTCTTTCACGTCACACTTTCTCACTAAATATGTGCATTTTGTAGCTTCTTTGCTTTTAATAACCTGTTGTGCGGTGAAGAAGTCTTACATTGTCCGTTAATCAGCAGAAAAATATACATAAACACATGATTCCTGTCTGAATCTGAGCTGCTTTATTAACTATTTGATCATTTATCAGCCCATTTTCACATTATTTGATGCTTAATCCTGATTTTAAGATTCAGATTTATGGCCAGAAACAGAAGAAAATGCAAACATGAGTCTGATGCTTTCAATTTTCAATTAGAAATTGCTAGTAATTGATTACAAAGAAACATTGAATCATATGAAATTTTTAAGTAGAAAAACTCAAAAAGTATTTACTTGTAAAATGTTTTCTAGTAATCTTTTTTTTATTAGCTTGTATTGATTCTTTTATTTACATCTTTTTACAATGTATAGTTTTTATTCATTTTTATTTTATTTTATTTTAATTTTATTTTATTCATTATTTTTTCTGTTTATTTATTTTTATTTATTTTATTACTTCAAGTTAAAACAATGTTATTTTACTATCGATGAGATACTATTATAGTTTTTATTAATGTTTTGAATTAGATTTTATTTTTATATTATATGCTTTCCTGTAAATTTTAACGTTTAAGTATTTTTGTTGTGCGTTTTTATTATTTTTATTATTTTTTGTTGTTTTTAAAATGTCTATATTATTTTTACTCATTTTTATTTTAGTTTTTGTTATTTTATTATATGAAGTTAAACTAAATGAAGATGAGAAATGTTGCCTTGGAAACTAGCTGAAATAAAATAAGCTTAATATTTTTATATTAAACTTTTATAGTTTTATATTTAGTTTTATTTCAGTTACGTATATTTTATTTCAAGCAATGATAATGCTTTAATGGTTTTAGTTTTTTTGAGTTAAACTAAATGAAAATGAGAAATGAAATAAGATAAAATATAGTTTAAAAAAAAAATATTTAAGTAAGTAACAAAGATGTTTTTAATTGTCTTAGTTTTAGTTATTTATAAAATTGTTCTTTGACATTAAATGGAGTATTTTAACTTTTTATTTATTTTATTTTTTTATTTAAATAATTTTCTTTGTTTCTACATATTTTTCCACTTTGCAGATTGTAAGTTAAATTATACATTTTGAATACTACTTTTTGTTATTAAAACCCAAACTTTTGACATTTGACTGCTTTTGTTAGTTTGATAAGTATATATTTATATTTTATATTTTTCATGTTTCTCGGTGCTTGCTGTTCTAAATTAAAAAATAGTCTTTCATTAAAATACAATAACTTGCTCCAGCAGTGAAACGACTTTCTTTTCTTGAGCAGAACAGAAGATTTTTAGTTGAAACTGTGATCCTTGACGATCCATTAAGTGCAAGTCAATGGCTACCGGCACTTTGAGAGTCCAAAAAAAAGCACATCAGGAAACACAGAATGAATCCCCGTGGCTCCTGACGATATATTGAGATCTTATGAAGCGAAACGATCAGTCTGTGCAAGAAACTGATGCATTATTTACAGCATTATTACCTGTAATCCAGAGCTTCAGGCAAACGGTTCAGTTTGTGAACGAATCATTCTTTTGAACCGGTTCTTTTTAGTGAACTAGATCATCAAATCGGACTGAAGCACCTGAATCAGTTCGCGGCTCGAGCAGCGCAGATCTACAAGATCTACAAGTTAAACTCACTTTCAGACGCCTGACAGTCACTCAATGAGCCGAAATAGCGGCGTATGTGATCCTCTCATGAATGAATCACGTCATTGTGTGATTACATAAATGCGCTTCATAAGACCTCAATATATCGTCAGGAGCGACAATTATTAATTTTGTCTTGCCTGTGTGTGCTTTTATTGACTCTCAGAGTGATGGCAGCCATTGACTTGCATTGTATGAATCCCCAAGCATCACGGTTTCAGCTAAAAATCCTCTTTACTGTTCCACTGAAGAAACACCCCCACCTACGTCTAGTTTTTCTGAAGCTGTAGAGGTGAGTGTGTGTGTGTGTGTGTGTGTGTGTGTGTGTGTGTTTGTGAACACAGCACGGCATTTCATTATAAGGGTCAAAAACGAGGACATTTAGTGCAAAAAATACCAGCAAAAAACCCTAAATATATCTCTGTATAATCAACCATTAATGAAATGTAAAAATTAGGCCGGGCAGATTCAGTGTTATTTTAGTATAGTTGATATACTATTATAATTTTTATCAATATATTTACTTATTTA